ACAGTGGAACCGCGACTTACGAAATTAATTCGTTCCTGAAGATCTTTCGTAAATCGAAGCACCCATTGCGCGTTTTGAGTAAGGCAATGCTGAATGATAGGCTATAGGCTAATTGCTAACTAGAACAACAATATGTCATTCAAGTGAAACAGCGAAGCACTAGTACGGAAGCCGAGGGGTTGTCACATGATTGATGGCTTTGTGGGTATTGTAGGCTCAGCCAATCAGAGCCAGCGGATTTCGTTACTACAGAAATATTGCCGTTCAGTCCCTTTGTAATTTGAATTTTTCGTGAAACGGGGTATTCGTAAGTCGGGGTTCCACTGTATATATCTATCTATCTAGCATGAGCCACATGAACCTTAAATTATGTGTGTGTATATTTAATTTAAGGTTCATGTGGCTTATGCTAAAGATAAGTAGCCAGCTGTGTCATCTACCATTTGATGGTGTTCAGAAGTTCCTTTGCTTATTGTTACTGTCACCTTTTTGTTTCAGAGGGTTACCCCTCCCCTCAGGGTGATCACAACCCTTCCCTTCTGGTTCCCCCCACCATGCCCATGTCCAGCTGCCCTCTGTCCAGCGTGCCCACTTCCACGCAGACTAAACCCCACCTACTGAACCACCTGTCTGGACGAGACCAGCCCCAGGCTAGGCTAAAGCTAGCCAAGGAGTGCCCAAAGAGCACCAAGCCCTCCGGTGACTCTCTGTCCGTGGGCCGCGCACAGCTATCGACAAAGGAGTCGCCATCTGTGCCAAGCCTCAGCAGCACCAAACAAAAGAGGGTCAGCCGCAGACGTGCCACTAACGGCTGGCTACCTGTTGGAATGCCCACAGAGAGGGAGGTCTTCATCGCGGTAGGTTTTTTGAGAGTCCATCTCTGTACGATGAAGATGATCAGCATATTAGAGAGCTTCTTGGACGAAGGAAAACCTTCTCTATTCCAAATACCTGACCAGTGGAAACCTTAGCATCAACACCACTGCCTTCCACAAGGACAAAGAAATTGTCTCTTGAGGGAAAAGTTAATTGTGTTTTGACCATACAGCTTTGTGTGACAGATTCCTTTTTGTCTTTATAATGAGAATTATATCTTTCCTTATTGTGTTTGCGCGCTCGTGTGTGTCTCAGGGAGAGGATGAGACGGCCCTGCGGCAATGTTACGAAGGAGTCGAGAGGGACGGTGAAGTGATACGTGTGAGAGACTCTGTGCTGCTACGATCAGGCCCCAGGAAGAAATCCCTCCCATATGTTGCCAAGATATCAGCGCTGTGGGAGGACCCCAAAACAGGTAAAAAAAAGATCAGCAGAAGGGGGGAGATTATGATGCGATACAGTGGTGCATGTGTATTGATGGATGACCGGAGGAACATATGGCCAAGCTTGTTTACCTCTGTGTGTGTGTGTGTGTGTGTGTCTTAATGTGATCCCTCAGGAGAGCTGATGATGAGTCTTTTCTGGTACTACCGACCTGAGCACACACAGGGAGGCAGAGATCCCAGCACACACTGTGAGGTGAGGAAGAGATTTGGAGCCAAGATGTTTGTGCAGACAAACAGTAACAGCACAGATCTGTGTGTATGTTAGACAAGAGAAGGTACAATCAACATTCATCAAATAAAAACACTTTATTTGATTTACTCCATTAGCGAAGGATTACGTAATCAGTATCCTCTAAGGAAAAAAATGACACCATGAAGTGTGTGTGTGTGCGCTTATGTGTTGTGTGTAAGAATAGATGAAGTCAAAATATATAAAGTATAGCACTGTGCAAAAGTCTTGAGCCACTATTCGTTTCTATATATTAAGCTAGGAAAATGGGACATTGGTGCAGCAGTTTATTGAAATATTTGCAAGGATAATAGTTCAGGTTTCTTGAAGGACATTCAGAGTTCTTCTTTGGATGTTGGCTGATTTTATTCTCTGTACTCTGTCACAGTGATCCCACACTGCTTCAGTAATGTTTAGCTCTGGGCTCTGGGGAGGCCAATCCATGACTGACAGTGTTCCACTGTGTATGGTTTTACTGCATTAGCAGCGTGTTTGGGATCATTTCATGGAAAAAAGAAACAGTTACCAATCCAGATAGTATTGTATGGTAGATTTCTGTTCATAAGTCCATCATTTATGACAAGATCCCCAAAACCGAAGGGCCAGATGTATCTCTCGGGTCCTGAGTCTGGTCTTTTTCCAGTTTTTAAGGACCTGGCTTTCAGATACATGTCCAGTTTCCTCAAATCTTATAAAGGCATACTACACACCATGCTGACATGTGTCACATGTTCAGCTAATAGCTCTTTGGGAATAATCTTGTTGGTGCAAAAATACAGTTTTACAGCTGTCTTATCTTTGGCGTCTTTTGATTCGGCTAAAGAAATTGAAGCAAATGATGTTTTTTTTGCAGCAGGCTGATAGTAAAAGAGTGCCTAATGTTAAAATTGGTGCTTCTCTAAGTTGTCTGCTATGTGCAGACTCGAGACAGGCTCATCCCTTGAGTTAGGTGTCTTTTTTATGCTTGAATCATTCACAAGTCAGTGTGAACAAACAAAAAAACCTTAATCATTTACTGAAAATGGTCAGGTACAAGGACTGGACTGAAAGTGAGTGAAAAAGCAAAGAAAAACTTTGAAAGATCCTTAGAAAGCCTCGAACTGTTGCTCAAGACCACTTTAAAAGATGATAAGAAAGTCTGTCTCTTCTTGAAGGGTGACCCAAGACTTTTGCACACCACCGAAGCCATGAAATGTATTCTTTATTTAATTTTTATCACTTTGTTTAAAGATAATGCAGTTTTTATCGATGGAACAGTTTGTGCTCGTGCAACATGTGTAAGAAAATTATGTGCAATGAGGAGGCTTCTGTCGCTGCTCTGCCCTGAAACTGTGGATAGTTAGTTTGCTCTTCAGTCTGACCACAAAGCCCAAAAATGATATCTCTCTGACCTCAGACGTGCACAAGCCAAGAACAGGAAAGATAAACGGTTTTACTTCTAGAAATGTTCTTTTTACAATAGCACGTGTTGAACAGAGCAGGATTTTGTGTGTGTGTCTTTGGCAGTACATAAGGTAGAAACAAAAAGGCAAAATCCTGTTGCTTTATAGTTATTATAGTTATAGTTCCCTCTGTGCTCTTAGTACGAAAGTGTAATTTCGTCATTATTCGCCGAGCACAATAGGAAACGCTTAACAGAGATGTGACTCTTCACACCTGCTGTTGATTTCAGAATGAGATTTTCGCCTCTCGGCATCAGGATGAAAATAGCGTGGCCTGCATAGAAGACAGATGCTATGTTCTCCCACTAGCCCAGTACTGTAGGTAAGTAACGAACACGGTAATTGTTGCTAGACGAAAAAGTCTTTTCACAAGGTTTGAAGTTTGAAATGAACAGCTCAGCTTTGACGACACGTGGAAGCTTTTTTTTAAATCACACACTGGTGACACTACAACTGTTAATGAATTTGCAGGAACATGAACACTTACCGTGATAACCTTTGTGAAAAGAAGAAAATGAAGGCAGAGAAGCAGGAAAGTTGCCTTTTAATTCATTTTCCTCTCCCTTCCTAGATTTTGTGCCTTGGTGAAGCGGCGTGCTGAAGGTGCCCCGCCTGGCAGTGCCAGTATGGTGCCCTGCCGCCCCGACTTTGCCCCTCCTTCCCACCGCTGTGTGCCCACAGACGTCGACCCCGAGTTGGTGTATCTCTGCCGGCACGTCTACGATTTTCGTTACGGTCGCATCTTGAAGAATCTGCAGTAGAGGGTGGAGGGCTGTTGCACCTTTTGAATTAATCGTCAATGAAGCACCGCCCCATCCCGCACAAAGAAGAGGGAGTGAAGGGGGCTGAGGGACTTTTTTTGTTTTGTTTTGTTTTTATCCAGTGAGCACCTCACAATCAGAGGGAAGGGGGTGGTGATGGGGTGAGGTCGTCTATTGGGCCAATACGAAGCACAGATCCCTTTAGCTGGAATGTGGTAGACAGAGCACCAATGTTTTCTGGTTTTGGTTTTGGAAGAGAAAGGAGTGATAATTCATTCTTCAGATCAGATTTTGTTTTTAATTTTTAAAAGCTTCCACCACACTCTGAGGTTTCAGCCTCCAATCGCTTCCCTGCCAGAATTGCTGAACGCCAGGCCGAGCTGGGCTGCTGTCAGGACTGTGTTTCCCCTCAAGCGTCTTAGCACAACAATCATGTTTGTTCCATTTGTAAGCCAGTGGCTCAGGGATGGTCCGGCACAGAGGCGCTGCCGGGGAACACAGGCCTGCGCTGTCCGCTCGGCGTTAACGGTGCTCAAGCAGCGAGAGTGAAGGAGCAGCTAATAGAGAGTGTCGTCTCATTTCTCCCGATTTCGAACCCGCATGAGTCTGCGCGTGCGTGTCAGAGAGAATGGAGAGCAAGTGTGACTCCGGGGTGAATGGATAACTGTCGCCATGTGTGATGTTTGTTTTTTTTTGTTTAGTTTTTTTAAGGAAGCTTTCAGGCAATCAAAACCAAAACAAGCAGCTTTAGAGAAAGCGGAGCTTCCTTCTCTTCTCCTGACACTGACCGAAACCTTTTCATCTCAAGTGATGAGCTGCGCAAAACTAAAATGATTGCACCTGAACGGGGTTCGTGAGACAGTCCTTTCCCTACTAGACTCGAGCAAACTAGAGCAGGGCTCTTTTAACTTTGTTTAGTACGGACCAGTGACACTAAAATGTCTCGCGATAGATTCGAACCAGTAAAAAAATAAACACACGTGGTGAAAGATGTCGAAGCAAACTGTAATCTCAGCTACTTGAAGAAGAGGCTCCCTTATGGGTTTTTGGTGGTGTCGTGTATACTTTTTCACATTTACTCCTGTGACTTGCCTTATGACTTGCAGGGAGAGCTTCAGGCAGCTACGTCTCGCCACATCAAACACTGAAGCGGTAGAACAGGGTGCACCTGCAGTCCTTGGAAGTAGGGTTTGGTTCAGTCTACGTGGCTCTCTTGCAAACAGTAAAAGGTCTGAAAATAGTGGAGAACATCTTTTGTACATTTTTACAGCAAAAAGTTTCGTTGGCTGTTCGCTCGGCAAAGAGAAAAGCATGAATTTGTCAGCTTAGATGTGATGCGCTTGGCATTTGTGCACCCTCTCTCCAAAAGAAAGGCGGATGACATTAGCTCCCGATTGTTTTTTCTGATCGCCGATACAGCTCAATACCCCCTCTCTGCCAAGATAAACCAAAGGATGTCTCACGCAAGCCAGAATTCCCGTCTCCACCCTCACTCCTCTCTGTCAGCGCTTCTAGTCCTCACTTCCTTGTTCTATTGCACTAATCCATTCCTTAATTACTACACATGCGTTCAACTTCCAGCTACTTAATATTGACGCCGGGTGGGGTGGGGCTCACTGTATATCATTTCTTTGTGTGTGTGTGTGTGTGTGTGTGTGTCTTTTTTGTACCTTTGTAGAAGGAAACCGTGAGGATGTCGTGGCTGCTTTTGTCAGTGCAAACTGTGTATTTCTATTACTTAACCAGTAGAGGAGTCAAGTCAGCCAGCCAGCGTGTTTGTCATATAACCCGATGCTCGACATGTTGAATCATGGGATATCGCTCGAGTCATTCCATCCGATTTGTCAGGTCAGCTCTAACGTACCTATATAATTATACAGTATATATATATACATGTATGTATCCACACTGTCAATGTGATTAGAGTTCAAATAGGCATCTGGATGGAGGCCTGACCCACTGTGCGGGCAGACGTAGCACCAAGCTGGAGGGCGTTTGGGTGGAGGTTTGGAGGGGCAGGTGGGCTATTTTGATACTTGTAAGTTGTGGCGGGTTTCTGACCACACTCTTCTATCGCCTTAACCTCGCAAGCGTTTTTTTTAACTTGTGAGTGGTGTCGGAGTGCGTGATCGTGTACCTTTAACGGCATCAAAAGTAACCAGCTGCTTTCCCACGCAGCAAACGCCCCGTCCTTCAACGTTGGGTAAAGCCTGCAAAAGTTTTGACACACTAAAGCCATCCTGAACTTTTTTTCTCTATTTGAGCCGCACGAATCGGGACCCAAGACAAAAATCAAATCCTGATTATTGGGAGGTTTTTGCTTTTAAGTTGTTATTATTTCTATTAATCCCCAGATTCTTCAAAGAGGTAATATAAATAGATATATTCTCCTACTTTACGATTTCTCCTTATTAGGGATATTTTATTATGTCAGTTTCCTAAGATGGTGTATGCAGTATATTTTTAGACTTGCTATTTTTGGAAAATGAACGTAACTAATCGAGAGGATATGCATTATTTTTCTGTTTATTTCAGGTGAGTTTCAAAAACAATGAAATGTTAATTGAAATTTGACCAAATGGGGAAAAAAAAAATAAAATTAATGGGGACTGATGTATGACCTGAGGTTGGAGATAATAGGCCAATGGAAATCTCCCATCCAGCCAACTTCTAATGAAGTGTAGATATTTGAATCCAGGAAGCACCGGGCACTCTTTAAACAGACAGCCAATGCACAGTGTAGTATTTTTGCAAGATCTGTAATGATTATATTTAAAGTAAGAAAAAAATATTTAAATCTAGTAAAACATATTAAGATTTAATTTTAACTTATTTGGAAATACTGTGTCTAATTGATGAACTATATCCTGTTTTCTTTGTGCTCCAGGATAGAAAAGATTTCTGTTCATTTGTAACAATATAAATATTATTTAGATTTTTTTTTTCTTTAAATTATATCATTTTTAATTGGGTGGAGACCACAGTGAAGCTCACGTGAGCAGACAGGAGAGAAAGCGCTCGCATGAAAACACGGGCTCGTGTTTTATCTTTACATGCTGAAAAGAAAAAAGTCCAACCTGACCTCAAGAATTGTGGGGGGCAACTGTTCCAGGTCACATGCCGTGTGGGAGCATGTGGCAACGTGGTCACCTGAGCTTTTATTGATTGGTCCTATTAGGGGAGAGACTGATGGGACACCCGAGACAGGACCGAATGCCCCCTGGGTTTCAAGGAGAAGATCCCCCTCGGATGCTGAAGTGGGACCAGTTTCCATCCTCTGAAACAAAAGTCACTGAGGGTCAGGAATTAGCCACTGTGTGAAAATTATTAGGTAGGGGAAGCATTAGCATTAGTATTCATGTATTTGGCAGGACAGATGTTTACAATCATGATCAAACCCACAAACTGTACACTTTACTTAAAAAGGTGTCTGTGTTCTCTCAGTTTTGTTTGCTATAGAAGTACTGTTTAGATGTAGTGAGGGGATCCTATTGCCATTGCCTTTAGAGGATGTTATTTTTAATAAAATATATGTTAAAAGTGAGTCTTAGCATCTGCTAAAACTAATCATTTTCACACAGTTCCTTACTTAAGTAAGCTATCAGGGTTTCTGATGGGCACAGATGGCAGCCAGGGGTTTATTATAATCAATGAGTAGATTAAATGAAGTTTCTCCCTCCTGCATCAGATGACCACTCTTGCCCTTCTCCCAGATGTGCTGTTACATATTTGGCCCCTAGAGGGCATGAATCAGGTGTTGGAGAAGCATGTAGAGGAGTCACAAGGCCACATCCTAAACCCTTTCAGCAGCTTTTCCTCCTTTTCCTGCCCCCATTTTTTTGAGTACTAGGAGAGATGCAGAGACTTCCTGGAAAATTAGATCAAGAAAGCTCAGCAAGGAGGCTGCCCCACGTTTTCCAGCCAGATTGTGTGTAGCTATCTACTCAAGTGAATTTCCTCCAAGCACCCCACAGGCACAGTCGCATCCTTCTTTAACATGGCAACAAGGCAGGGCAGGAAGTTTGTACGTGGCGGGGTCACACACTGAGTAACCTGTGCTGATGCCTCACAGGAAGCGTGTCCACAGAAAGAAAAGTACCCAGAGCAACCCCTGAGATTCTGCTTTCTGTGTGGTCTGTATTGATGCTTATTGTTGGCGTATATTTTGGGTGGGGGCTGTTACAAATTATAGTGAAAGGTCTAGATATTTTTGGAGTAGAGAAGCAATGTGTGTATCAGATTATTGTCACTTTGTCTTGCTCTCTGAAAAATCTCTTGGAATTTTTTTGTTTGTTTGTTTTTCTGAAGAATTCTATAACATCCCGACTGATTTAATGTTCGATTCAGAGAATATTTATAAATTTTAAGTCCTTTGTGAAAATTCTGTGTTTGTGTTTTTATTTCAGAGCTTTTAATTTGTAAACTAATTGCAGGTTAACTGCGGTCACCTGACAGGTGTAGAGGTCATCTTGAAAGTTTATTTGGGTTAGATTCCTACCATTACAGGATTATGTGTTTCTCTTCAAGGTTATCTAATTTTGCCTGTGTGCAAACCTTAGAGGACGTTAGAGATTAGTTCACTGTATGCGATCAATACCGAGTTGATCAAAATTCCTCCACCAATGAGCCGTAGTGATGAACAGTGTCCACAGGAGGTCAGTGGTGTGACACCAGTGTTCAGGTCAGACAGGGTCGAATCCTACTCTGACCTCTACATTTAAGTATTAATAAGGGCACTGATTAGACAGTACGTGGTCATCTGTTAGTTTGAAAACAACAGGCGAAAGGTTTCAACCTTCCCCTGCCCGTTTTCCACGTCTCCGATTTCCCTCCCTTCATGTCCTCTGTCAGCAAAGTCATTATCTGCCTTTGCCCTTCATCCCTGTTCAGGCCTCAGGGCATTAGGAGCGTTCAGCACACACACACACACACACACACACCACACTGCAGGGCCTTAGTGTCTGTTACGCGGGGATAACAGCAGCCAGACCACGGGACGATTAGTGTGTCATAATAACATAACTAGCAGCACACTTTGACCTGAGAGGCCTCTCAAGTGCACCAGCCTGCTTAAAGACTAGTGGCTGCGTGGTAATGGAGCCGAGAGAGTATATTAAAAACTCACTGTGGGTGGAATAAATGGTGACCTCTTGTGAATAAGATAGCAGCGGAAAGCAGTTTAGGGTGGAATAAATGGCACTGATGTCAGTGTATTGAAATTGTGATGCCTTCATCTTAAACAAAGAAAAATGTGAGGGATCAGGGTGATTTCATTGTTTTTATTTCTTCATGCAAAAATAACAAAA